CTCTCTGTGACAGCAGCCAAACCTGTGCCATAAATAAGATACACCCTGATGGACAAGTAAAGGTGACATAGCTACTTCCCATTCCCCTGTACGAAGCAAGAACAGACAAGATAGGGAAGACTCCTTATTATCCCAAACAATGGGGGTAACTGGTGTTTTCTAACTGCTTAATTAACTTTGAAAAAGATTTCAGGTCTCTATGTAAGATGTCAAAAAAAAAAAAAAAAAAAGATTCAGAGTGGGAGTCTTATCTTGATGAGCTCCTAGCCCATTCCAATTTTCACACACATTTGTGATTCAGGGTTGTAGATGTCTCCTCTTTAAACAAAGACGGTCTTTTCACTTCTGCTTCTCATTCTTCTCGTTGTCTTTTGAGTTTTGGAAAGTAAATTTTATTCACCCTGCTATCTTAAAGCTGAAAGTCTTGTTAATGGTACATTTAATTTCCAAAACTTAGTATTATTTTGTTTACCAATCACCTTGTGGTTGTCTCATGTGTGTCTTTTACTCTCCGATCATTCCAAGGACAGAATACTTGTGTTAACTTATTGTTTCTTCTCCGTACTCAGTTTGTTAGGCATTTTGTGATGTGGGTTTGGGGCCTCTGTGCCATCCTGTTTCTCTTTGATCAAAATCTGATGACGATTGGTAACATGTTCATCTTTTAATGTGAGAATTTACCTAGGTGGCTGTGGGTCACCATTGTGGTGTCCTACCTCAAGTGACTGTGGAGGTGGAGTGGCATGTACGGATGCCCCAGGGTACATGGAAAGCTTATTTTCTATGTGTAGGTCCCTGATTCTTCCCCTCTGGGGAGAATCCTAATTCCTCTGAGGTTTGGCCCTATGTTTCCAATCCCACAGCCCACTCTCCATGTGCAGTCCCATTTCAAAGGCTAAATGAGAAAAAATAAAGGAAAAGAAAAGAAAAAGAAAAATTTCCATTCCATTCTGTCCTGATTGTTGTCTGGAGTTTCTTCAGGTCTTGCCCTGCTGTTCTCTTTGGATAATGTCTCTTAGAAAGTAAACATGGAGCTCACACCCTGGGGACAGGTGGAGCTGTTGTCTGCTCTGTGTGGAACATGGGGAGGGGCCTGACTGGCTATCTCCTTCCAAGGGTAGTTAACCCTTAATGACCCTGACTGTGGCTTCAGAGCCCACTTTACCCCCTTGTGTTCATCCACTGTGAGTTTAGATATCCTGGAAATTGATTTTACCTTGGCAGTTGTTTGCTTCTGTGTGCTCTAGCCTGTGAGTCTTTCTCAACTCTGCTGGACAATCTATCTGCTTTCTTCTTTAGGAACACATCTAAAAATTTGGTCTGATGGTGGTACCTTTTTCATTTTCCATTTCCTAAAAAATACATATGTATTTATGGAATATATAGGTATGCAATGTACATGAAAACATGCAAAATAAAGTCAAATATATTTTTGTGTTATGCATACACACACACACATATATATATATACGCATTTACTTTTCCATTATTTCAAAGAATAAGGGAAAGAGGAAGGTGTTATCATCAGCCATTGTAGGCTGGACAGTCTGAAGTGCTCTAAATATAATTATTGTATCTCCACAAATCATTCAGTTCAAATGTTTTTGTTTTTGTTNAATTCACTGTAGCACATGATTTGCTGAATAGAAGATAGTAGAGTGATTTCTTTTTCATGGGCCAATATTACTATACTGATACCAAAGAAACATGCCCTCACATAGTAAACTATAAATATTGACTTAAAATTATGTTTAGGGTTTATTTTAAATATATAACACATATTTTCTTGATTTTTTCATTGAACTCATTTATTTATTTATAAAATGCATTATCATATTTTTTAATCTATGGACTAGTTTGTTAAGCCAGGTGCCTAATATCCATAGTTCCAATTTTTATCTCCTAAATAATTTTAGCCATTAGTGTCTCATTTTAGGTCTGTATCTAATAGGATAAGCTTTTGAGAGTAACAACTTAACTCTGCATTTTTCTTTGGTAGCAAAACAGAAGCTGCCTCCTTTCTTTTCTAGTCTAAATAACACAGTCTTTTGATATTAAGGGCAAAAAGCAATTTTTTTCCTTACCTTCACTCAGTGTTTCTTCCTTATGTTGTTGTTGCCAATTCTGTTACTTCAAATAAAAACACCATGTACAAATTATACATTTTTTTTCTGGTTTTATTAAAAATATATCAAATTGTCATAGAATGGCATTTGCAATATTAATTTGATTTTTTTTTTGCAAATACAGCTCTTAAATAGAATTTTCTTGCTTTTTTATGGTCTTCTGTTATTGACTTCATATTAGAATCAAATATTGAAGATTTTATTCAGTCACTAAAGCATCAAAATATACTTTTGGAAGTAG